CACACACACACACACACACACACACAGGTCAGTCTATGGCTAGTGCCCAGCATTCTCCCCGGCACTGAATAACTACCTTCTTCCTCCAACATAACACCCAGTCATTAAAGCTGTATTTGATGCACCTTTCACACCAGATACAGATATAATGATCGGGCATTGTATTCAGGAGAAGAAGGTAGCTGCTGCTCTCACCTAGCTGCGCTCTCATGCTAGTGCTCTAGCGGCCTCGCTGCAGTATGACTCCCCAGATGCCGGCTGCTGCCCCAGTTTCTCCTTAAAATAATAGGCAGGCTGGGTTTCCTACCGGCCTGGCCCCAGCCTCTTCCGGACTCTTCCGGATAGCAGCCGCTGCAAAAGGTACAGGTACCCCTGGGTAGTGCCCAACTCGGCCTTCCACCCTTTTCTCAAACTGGTTTGCCCAACATTTCCATAGGCTGACGTATAGGGTCTACAGGTCCTCTACCCTGCATCCAGATACACAAATCAGGGACATGAGATAGCCTAATCAGAAAACCATGATTTGGCAGATATCCCCATCATGACTGTGACGATATTTTATAGTCCACCATGTATATGACAATATTATAGTGGAAGAACATTTTATAGTGCATCACTACTTCGTACCGATCAAGGGTGTGAGTTTTAACTTTGAAACCAATTGCTGGGCATAGTCGAATCGGACACATCATCGAAGGGGAGGAGAGGAGGGGAGAATGTGCTCTGACAACATAAAAAGCACCAGTGGAGGGCCTGGCCTCAGTTGACTTTTCTCATGAGGAAAGGGGAATGTGCTCTGACAACATAAAAAGCACCAGTGGAGGGCTTGGCCTTAGTTGACGTTTTTCACTGGCCTCAGTTGACTTTTCTCATGCTTTAGCTGAGCCAACCGTCAGCATTGGCAAGGTTGTGTTCCTGGTGTGTCAAGAACAGAAGGGGTAAGGGCGAGGGCAACGTGAGAGCGAGGGTGAGGGCGAAGGCGAAGGGAGGGCGAGGGGAAGGGGGGGAGGGGAGGGGAAGGGGGGGGTGGAAAGAGGAGAGGGGAGGGGGAAGGGGAGAGGGGAAGGGGAGAGGGCAGGGAGGGGGGAGGCTCCGCCGGGGAGGGGGGAAGGTGGGGGAGGGGAAAGGGATGGAGGAAGGTGGGGGAGGGAAAGGGCTGGAGGGAGGTGGGGGAGGGGGAGGGGGAAGGAATGAGACCCATGGAGAAGGAGGCGGTGGAGAGCAGACATAGAAGCAGGACGCAAACCCAAAGATGCACACATCCATGTGGCAGTCAATCTATCATTAGATCTCACCTCGAGCCCTGATGGCATTGTCCATCGAAGTTAGATAATCTCCTAAGTTATTTACCTGCAAACCAGAGCAGAAACCCATCAGAGTTTGACTGGCCAGGAAAGCTCACCCCACCCCAGAGGTAGGTGGTGGGTTCTCTTTTCTTCAGGACAGGTCGATTTGCTCTTCTCTTCCCCCAGGGATAGATTAATTTGAAAAGGAGAAGTTGAAAATTCTGCAAGGAAAAGGAGGGAGAGCGATAGGCAGAAGACCAAATTGCAACATCACATTGAAGAGCAAATAGTTGTGTACCAAGCAGAAAGTAGCATGCACCGAGTCACAAGCCAAATAAGAGCAATACAAGGAACTCAAATGCCAATGTCAGCCCCAACTCGCCACCATGAACAATGTTTCCTCTTCTTGATTGGTGCTAGCCTACTACTACTCAGAACCTATGCTAACCTACAGCTACCATGATGCAACCAGGAAACACTCCAGCAGAAGACCAATGTACATGTCAAAGTCGCCCATGCAGACCACTGCACGCACATCAGGTGCGTCTCTTCCTCCTCTCACTCACCACCTGCCACAGTCCCCCCTACCTGAAGACCACCATCACCATCACTAGCACCAGCAAGGTCAGCCTGGCTATGGCTGTCTTGCCCGCTGGTTTCAGGCAGCGCCCTAAACCCAGTGCCCGCACGCCCGTGTGCGGTGACACCTGGCGAAGGTCGACTCTGAACGCAGCAGCACTGCTGCGACGTTGACCTCTGCCCAAATGCCACTCCCCCGCCGGTCAGACTGGGCGGCGCTGGACCTCTTGCACAACCAGTCTTGAGCCAGTGTCTGAGGCCCAGACCCAGACAGTTGTGTCGCAACTGTGAAAAATGGCAAGTGCTGTCTCCTGCGCTCTGATTATCACATCGCCGAGGCGCTGCTTTTTGATAGGGCCCAGTCACACAGGCCTAGGCGGGTACAGATCCAAAATAGGCCCGCCATGCTCAAGAGTACCCACCCGCGTGCCCAGAATATCCAGACAAGTCAAAGTAGGGCCATGGGTTGACTGGAAGGCCCTGCGAGGGATCAAAATTTTGGCACTCCCTCCTCCTTAGCTTTGAAAGTCCGCTGAGAGGCTTCTAGGCAGTAGCTTTCCCCTCGAGTCTTTGTTCATACTCTGAAACTATCTGAGGTGCTGTCTTCATCAGCTCCTCCCTTGTTAACCAACGATCTTGCTTTGGATCTGTATGATGCCTGAATCTGACCTGGCATTTCCTTGGAGGTTTAGGCGGTCTTCCTCAGCCAGTTGGCCTTGGAACAGGCATGGCCCGATGATGAACAATGTCATCGATTGGCAGCATTGATCTCCTTGATGGAGAATTGATTGGTCTCAGAGGAAGGCACAAACTTTGAGTGCGTAGGTGACCAGGGATACGAATGATGTAGGAGAGACCATCTGGATCATTCCCAACAATGTCAAGGACTTCCCAAGGGTCGAAGTACTGAGGCATTAACTTTCTAGAGATGCCTGTCTCCTGTCCTAACTCGCTAGACTTAACCCAGACTCGTTCTCCTACCTTAAATGTGGACTGTCTTCGATCTCTGTTCTCAGACGCTATCATAGCAGCCTCAGCTTTCTTGATGTGTTCGACAGCCTGCTGCAACATCTTTTCATACTGGACACCGAATTCAATGGTGCCAAGTGTCGCACCTAGTCAGTTTTCAGGGACAAGAAAGTCTAGTGCTGATCTAGGCTTCCAACCCAAGTGCAGCTCCTTCGGAGTCACGCCCGTGGTGCTATGAATCGCATTGTTGTACCGGCTGGCGATAACAGGAAGCTTCTCGTCCCAGTCTTCTTGGCTCGGCTTCATGTAATGTTGAAACAAGTGTTGCACCACACGGTTCATTTGCTCCGCTTGGCCATCGGCTTCAGGGTGATTCTCTGAAGTCATTTGAAGTTGGCTTTCCATCTGCTCAGCCGCCTTCTTCCACATTTCACTCGTCAAACGGAGATCTCTATCGCTCGCAATTGACTTGGGCAGTCCGACACGCACCCAATTATTCATAAATAATTTGATAACGTGTTCGGTAATTGAGGATTCAGACATGACGACTAACCTAGCGTACTTCCTGAAACGGTCCACTATGACAAGGATGTGTTGCTGGTCACAAGGGTATCCATGAAGTCCATGGAGACACTCTGTCCCGGGACAGCGGGAATGGGCAACGGCTTTAACAATCCAAGTGGTGCTTGTGTCCTTGGCTTGTCATGTTGGCAAACTTGACAAGTCTCTACATAGCGCTTCACACTCTCAAACATAGCGGGCCACCAAAATCGTTGGACTAGGTTAGCACTTGTCTTTTTGTAGCCAAAGTGACTGGTCGCATCATGACACTTTCCTGAAAAATAAATTACGCAAAGACTCCCTAGACGGAACACACAGACATTTACTCCCGGCCTTTTCAAGAAAGAGCAAACCGTCCACCATCACAAACTCATCTGGTGTAGGCTTATCCTTGACTTTGAGCTTGCAGATGATGTCGATCACCACAACGTTTTCCTTGTAGGCCTCACGACATCTTCCTGGTAGGGCCGCTAATGCCTTGTAGGCATCTACCATGGATGAAGTCAAATCATCAGATAGGTCGAACTAAGTTATCAGCGCACCCACAAAGTCCACCCTACGAGAAAGTGCATCAGCAACCTTATTGTATCCCCCCTTCAAGAGCTCGAGCTTGAAGTCATACTGATCAATGACTTCAATCCATCTTTTGAGAGCGTTTGAGAGGGTAGGCTGCGTCTTGATCCACTTGAGAGTTTGGTGGTCAGATCTCACATAGAAAAGTATGCCCAACACATAGTGCCTCCAATGGATTAGAGCCTTTTGGAGGGCGTAGAGCTCGCGCTCATACGTGGATTTTGTCAACTTCTAAGATGGCATTTTCTTACTCGTGCCATTATTCCCCTGCTAGTGGAACCGTGCCCCGTGAGGGCATAGTCACACTATACGGGAGCGAATTTGCTCCACTCGCACAGCTCGCATTTTCACAAATTTTACGGGAGCGAATTTGCTCCGCTCGCACAGCTCACCCGTTTGTTGCACAAAACAGAAAGGACACTGTGGCAACCTCCGATCCACAAAGTGCAATTCATGCCCCTGTAATTGCTTACCAGCTGAAAAATCGTTCGTGAATCAAGGAAGAGATCATGAAGAGAAAAAAACGAAGTAAATACAGGGACCTCTAGAGGTCCCAACAAAATATGTAACCTCATGGCTCATAAGGTCGCTGACGTTTACGTACAAGAAAGCGTGAAAATGCAAAATGCGGACCCTGTGTGACCCAAAAAAATACACAATAGTTGCCCCTGTGTGACTCAAAAAAATTACGCAATGTTGGCAATTATTAATTTATTATACTGTTATACACGTGCTAGTGCCCCGTGTGACCCAAAAGCATACGCGATAGTTGCCGCTGTGTGACTCAAAAAAATTACGCTATGTTTGCAATTATACTGTTATACGTGCTAGTGTGAGTATGCCCCGAGATGGGCAGCCATCTGTGTTGGTCACTACTGTGGGACTGGACATGGTGTGAGCAAAGCTGTTGGCTAATGGGACTGTGCCCCAAGGGTGTACCAACTGAGCTAGGCCAGTATGTGCCGTTCTAACGGGGGG